AACCAACATAATGGTAGTCCATCACTACATTAGCAACAGATTACCAACAAATTGGTAATTCGTTACTAAATCAGTAATAGATTACCAATAGATTGGTAGTCGTTGTTAAATTAGCGATGGATTACCGACTACAAGCTTGTCTATTGCAAATTAGCAACTAATTAGTGATGAAATTTTTTCATTACTAAATCAATGACGAATTATTGACAAACAATAGTTTAGTCACTGAATTCGTGACAGATTACCAACGGATTGATAATTTTTCAATAAATTTGTTACTGATCTGTCGCTAATCTGTTGGTAATTAGTGACAAATCTGGATTTAGATATTTAATAGATCAGATTGCTTAATTTTATATCCAATTTATTTATGTTAGATTACAACTATTTATAATCAAATCTAATTTGATCAAATATTTTAATTGGATTCAAAATCTAAAATTTAGATTTAGATGAAAATTCATTCCATTGATAACCCCTAAATAAAATATAACTATATTTTTACTCAAATTGAACATATAAGTTTTGTTATGTTATTTTCTACTTTCAGAGAGCCCACTTCTCCAAAATTTTAATTTAATCTATATAATTTTTCTATCTTCACATAGATCAGAAAAAAATGTATTGATCAAATTCTCCCAGAAGAATGTTTGAGTTGGAAAATGGCACAATTCATTCAGAGAAAATATCAGAATTAAAAAAAAATAGAAAGAAAAATATAAATCTACTTAGCAGATTCCAAAAACGCCATATTATAACCTAAGCCCAAACTTAAGCAATGGGCCGATCTATGTCAATGCTGGTCACTGTTGCGAGGCCCAATATTGGCCCAATACGTCCACGGTAATCCAGCCGATCCAAACTCAAGATCCCATTAACCCTTCATCTTCTTTACGCCATTAATTATAAAGTACAGGGGTTCCTGTAACAGAGAATTCGTTATTTGTCACGCTCTACATAAAAGAATTATTCCATACTAATATAATAAATTTAACTTCATGTCAAAATTAAATTATTTTAAGATGGTTTAGACTTATTTCACAGCACAATTAAGTGCATAAAACCGAGCTTACTTTATATTAAATACGTGAAACGAAATTAGGTACTCAATTACACACTTAAAATTGAAATTAAAAAAGGATAAATTAGAATTTTTAAGCAAAAAAAAAAATTATTTACAGATTGTTGAATGTTAAATATTATTAGTAACAAGTAGCTTTCACTTTCTAAATTCAATTATTTGACATATAATTTAAAGAGTACTCCTAAAAATATTATGATGGTAGCACTTACCTACTAAGGTATAACATATAATAGATTATCTCATCAAATTTGTTATTAAAATTAAATTAATTAACAAAGTTAATGCACTCGTTTATATTAACATATAATAGATTATCTCATCAAATTTGTTATTAAAATTAAATTAATTAACAAAGTTAATGCACTCGTTTATATTACCATTTACTCCTAATTCGATACTGTCCATATTTTTTTAGAATTTAAAAAAGATTATATGTAAAATAACAACATTTGTCGCATCAAAAAATATAATTAATTAAAATATATATCTCTCAGCCAATTTGTAAAATAATTACTTTTATTGTAATAAAAAAAAAGAATAAAATGCAATTAATTTCTTAACCTACACTGTTCATCGTTCGTAATTTAACAAATGTTGTTTGTAAAATAATGGTCTTTTATTATAATTAAAAAAATTAAAATTGATTAAAAAATTGTCCCTTAATAAATTTGTAAAACAACAGCTTTCATATTGCAAAAAAAAAAAGAAATAATAACAATTTTTAAGAAATTAACTCCTTAACTTCCACTATCAATTATACTATTTATAATTTAGTAAATGTCTTTAAAATACAACCGTCACTATAACAAAAAATTATAATTAATTAAAAAATATCATTCAACCCATTTACAAAAGAACAACTTTCATTGTATTTGGAAAAAAAAAAAAAGAATAACAACCTAAATGAAATTAATCTTGTATTGCCAAGATCATTCTTTATTCTCCATGAAATTAATCTCATATTATTATAAGGGATGTTATAATAATATAAGCGAGTGTATTAATTTAATTACTTAATTTTAATTGTGACTCTATTTTTTTATTTTTTTTTTGGGGGGGGGGATTGTCATGTTTTGATACTTTAAAAAGGAAGTGTTGCCATCATAATACTTTAAAGAGGTAAATTATATTTTATCTAATTTTAAATTATATTGATTTAAAAAATGTAATACTTAATTATTTTAATACTAAATTAACAGTAATTATCCCTTTTCTGGAAGTACATTTGAGGGTTTGCTTAGGGTTTTTGGTTGCAACTTGTCCTACTCCTGCTATTGAAATGTTGTAGTAGGGGAACCCAAATCTTAAAAGAAAAGTGTTTTTCAATAAAATAAATTTTAAAATTTGGTTTGTGAAAAAAGGATTCTTTTTATTATTAAATGTTTAATATAATTAAATATGAATAGTTTTCATTTCTATATTAATTAATATATATAGTTTTAAATTTTTAATCTTAAAAATTTCATATTTAATTATTTAATTTTTCATCCCCTAATTTAAGTATTATCAGAGATGGTGGACATTGCTCTTTCAAAAACGGGCTCAAAGAATTACATTTAGAGGTAATGCTAATGCATTTGAGATGCACCCCATTGGATAAAGCTTATAATATCTTTAATTAGGTAGGAATTAGTTTGTATCCATCATTTTTATTTCTTAGTTCACCACCGGTTGTGATACGAGTCGAATTTAAATTGAATAAGACAAATTTAAATTTAATTAATTATTTTTTGTATTAAAATTCAATCCCAAATTTTGTATGTATTTATTAAATCATATCCGAATCAATGAATATTCAGAAATTTAATAAAAGAAATTTGATCGACAAGAAAATTATATTATTTTTGCACATAAATCTCTTAAATGTATTTCATTAATTATATTAATTTTGAATTTTCTCATTTTCTCAATTTATTCTCTATAATTTTAAATTTATATATATGTAATTATTAATTTAATATTAAAATATTATTAAAATTTATATTTGAATTTTTGATAGGTTAGATTACTTAATTTCATAATTAATTTATTTATCTTAAATTATAAATATTTATAATAAAATTTAATTTATTGAATATTTTTATCAAATTCAAATATTATATTTTAAATCATATTTAAATTAAAATTTAGCACATTGAGAGTCTTAATTTATTTAAATTTTTATTTCTATTAAAATATTAAAAAGGTTTTCGTTTATTTTATTTTAATTGAGAGCATATTTTTAAATTATTTTAATGGGACGAAGGATGTCAAGCATAAAGATCTCTTAACTTGAAGTCAAGTGGAATGTTAGATCGGGGCAGATGATTATTTAATGAACTAAGTGCTGATCATAAATGGAAGGACCACATTAGGCCCATTATACGAGGAGGGTCCACGGAGGATGATGGACCATAAGTACATGATATTATTGCTCAATATATATATATATAGAGAGAGAGAGAGAGAGAGAGTGAGAGAGAGAGAGAGAGAGAATTGTTATAGGTTCGTAGTGTTTGTCCAGAACGCGGTGGCCTTGTGGGCTGTGGAGCAGTTGTAACCCCTAACGGATACTAGCGTCACCTCCTCACCCTCCCCTCGCCTTGTCACGTGCCCCCCATTCGCTCACGTGACTTCACCAAAACCAGAAGGAATTTTTCATATGTCGGAGCATTAGGATTTACAACTTGTTAAATTTTTTATTAATATCAAATGATTTTATATTTTATAAAAAATTTTACTATTTTATTTTAATAAAATTAAAATTGATTCGATTGGATTCATAATAATTAAAATTTTAATAAAAACTCATTGTTGGTTAAGTTTTATCATGTAATTGGTAAATAGTTGTTTAGTATAAACATACTATTATAGTATTCTTTAAAAAATTTTAATGGATTAATTGGAATAATTTTCCAAATAATTTGATTTCATATAATAAAATGTAAATATTAGATAAATGTACAAAGACCCAGTACCCGTTACCCGTAAAAAAACCAAGGACCCGGTTATTTTGCCAACAAAAGGTGCAGTAAGATGGACATGAGGGCAAGTTTGTCTTTTTCGTGCTTCATGAGCGTCGGAGTTATCAAGGACGCGCTCGCCAAAACGGCCCGGCTGATGTCAGAGTCAGAGAAGGGAATAGAAGAAAAATAATGGAAGAAGACTTAGCAGAGAAGAGACAGTGGGATGTGAGAGAGAAAGAAAGCTAGAGAGAGAAAAGTTAGAGAAAGGAGACATTAGAGAGAGAAACAACAGCTGTGGGTTGAGGTCTGACACAGCCACCACCCATTAACAACCGCCACGCCTACTCGCTCTGCCGCCGCCGCCGCTTCTGCAACCGATCTCTCCCTTCTTTCCTCCTTCCTCTTCTCTCTCTCTCTCTGTGGAACTTACTCCTCTCTCTCGCTACACCTGCTCATCTCTCTCCCTCTCTCTCGAATCCATGTAATGCAATTTTTTGTGTGAAGGGAATACTAGCTGATCGGAGTGGTTGAACTCAAAAATTGTTCAGTTCTTTATTGCCATGAGTTGGAACCTACACAAACCCATTTCTCCAGTCTACCGTACCTTCGCCGAACACATTAATCCACTGATACAATAAAATCCGCCTCTATATATTTGTACTTCAATTTTTTCTCTCCCTACTTGTCATCTTTTAAGCCGTGAAAATCTGGGAGTTTATTTAGGGATTTTTCATTGAAATTTCTATATTGGTGAATCCTTGGGCAGATGAGAGAGAGAGTGAGACAAATTCGCATGCACTCAGTTAATCTCCACCTGCATATTTTCTCATCATCCAAACGGACAAGTGTTTGAGTACACATCTGCGAATTGAAACAGTTCTGACCCGTTTATTAAATACATATATATAACAAATCACGCCAAGGAAGATTGATAGATATATAGAGAGGAGGCGGAGAAAGAGGAGAGAGAAATGGATGAAGGGAGGAGAGGCGAAGGAGTGAATCAGCAGCAACAGGAGGACCCCAGCAACAACCAAAGGCGGCTAAAGCCCCAGAAAACCAGCCGCTTCAGCCACAGAAATGCCCCCGATGCGACTCCGTCAACACCAATGTTTGCTACTACAACAACTACAGCCTCTCCCAGCCACGCTACTTCTGCAAGACATGCCGCCGATACTGGACCCACGGCGGAACCCTCCGGAACGTCCCCGTAGGGGGTGGCTGTCGGAAGGGCAAGCGCCAAAAAGCCGGCGACAATTCCAGATCCCAGCCACCACAGACGACGGAGCCACCATCAATCTCCGTAGTTCCACCCGCAAGTACTTACTTTTCAGGCGGTGGGTTCCTCTCGTCTCTTGCGGCGGTACAGTCCCTGAGCCACCACCAACAACAACAGCCGCCCTTCAGTCTGGGTCAGTTCGGACCCGGATCAGGATCCAATCTGGGTCTTCTTCAGGGGCTGAACGTTTTTGGAGTTGGGTCATCACATGGGCCTCAGATTCAGCAGCAGCAAAGTGATCAGGTGTACCAAATGGGTAATAGGGTTAAGAACGAGGAGACTTTGTACTCGTCCGGTCAAACCCTGGTTGATCAGACCAGCAGGCCTTCTGGATATTGGAGCCAAACCCTGGTCAGCAACAGTGGAACGAACACCACCGGATCAAACCCCAGCCGCTTCTGGAGTGGCACCACCAATAGCAGCACTACTGGCATCAACCCAAATCAATGGCCTGATCTGCCTGGCTACGGCCACACCCCATGATACTTGGGTGCACACCATCAACTCGTTTCAACCTTTTCTAGCCTTTATCCTCAAAAGAGAAAAAAAAAAAAAAAAGCATATAAAGTATTAAGTTTCAACTTTCTTGCCAATTTTTGGGTTTTTCTTGTGAAACAAACATGAGAATGAGGTGGGTATTTATGTAACTGGAGGAATATACAACTGGTTTGGGTTAGGTTTGTGTTTTGTAACTTTTGATTTATCTTCTTCTTGTTTGTTTGGTTATATGCTTTTAATTTGAGCTTTATAATGTACAAATAGTTTTTTACCCAGTTCATTAAGAAAGGAAAAGAAGAGAGCTGCTTTATTGCTTTTGGGGAACTTGAATTAAACTAGGGTTTCTTTCTTGAGGGTGATTTTTGCATGGATTGTTGAGCTAGTGCCCTTTAGCAAAAGTTGATGGACAAGATGGTTCGTTTATGTGCATGTGGGTTCGGAATCTGACTGATGATTTTAATGCTTTAGATTAGTCTATCTATGGTAACTTTACAGTTTCTCTCTCTATGTATATATTGTATACATGTACATCTCTGAGAATGAGAAGTACAGTTGGCGATCAGGGGGCTTAAATGCCTTTAATTACCCATTTTTTTATCAATATTTTTATTCATTTTTGGAAGTATTTTTTTATTCAGGTTCGGAATTGATTTTTGCCACTCTATTTCAGAGAGTGGTTTTCTTGAACTAATATGTTCTTCTTCTCTGATTCCAAGCTACATTTATTCATCAAAAAAAGATCAAACGGCTAAAATTGGACTCTCTATGCACGTGTAGAGCTCCATTGAGAAACTCAATGCAATTATGTAAGTCTATGTCGGAGGTAAATATGCGCAATGCAGCTGCAAATGTGTTTATCTTAAAAAGACACAGAAAAAAGGGTAGACTATGAGTAAAGTCAATGAATATGCTAGGCTAATATATAGGATTGAATATATTTGCTTATGTTTATTCTAAAATAAGTTTGATTAATTAATTTAATCAGTTCGTAGTTATACAAGGCTTAATTTACTACTTGTGGTCAAATATGCTTCTATTAGCCTAGAAAGTAAGAAACTAAAAAAGTAAGAAATTAAAGTGTGTATAGTATGATTAAATGATTTTTAATGAAACATGAATAAGAATGGAATTGAATTAAGATATTTATAAATATATTTGGTATATATTAATAAAATAAAAATTTTTATTTTGTCACTATACTTGGTGTGTTGAAATATAAATAGAAAAGGAAACAAAAAAATTGTTTAAAAGTAAAAATACTCTTTCTTATAAAGATTTCAAAATAAAAAAAAGGTAATTTTTAATATATTATGACATATTTTAAATTTTTTACTCTAACATTAAAATATTAAATTCAAAAATATGTGTGTGTATGTGCATATATAATAAGTTATATAAGTATATATCTTATTATATAAATGTAATAATATACATACTATAATATATTATATTATACAATTTATTATAGTATAATAGATATATACAAAATATATAATATTATAAATATTTATAATTTTTATATTATAGGATATTCTGGTCATTTACTTAAAAAGGATAATAATTATATAACTAAATGAAAATTCTATAAAATGATAGAATTTAAATTCCGACACTCTAATAATAGAATTTGAATTCACCCATTTAATGAAATCTTGATTTCCTATGAAATGAGAATTCATATTTCAAAATATTTATTAAGCGGATTTTTTTAAGATTCTCATTCTTATTCCTATTCTTTCAACAAGATTCTATTATACCATATGTCATGTAATTAAATTTGAGATCGGCAAAAGTAATGTTAGTGAGAATTTAAATAAATATTGATGGTGGGAAAGGCAAAAAAATCTAAGAATTTTTGTACAGGTGATTTGGTTTTCTTTTTAAATTAAGAATTAAGAATTGTTCGAGGCCTTAGGCTGATCCATGGCAGTTAGGACTAAAAAATTTCTACTTTCTAACTACTTAAAGCGCTTTTAGGTGGTAAGTACTTTACTTCTAATATAAACAATGTCGCATATTTACATATGTATAGCTAGATGTGCATACGTCATTTTTGAATTAGCAAAACCCTAATTTGTTTTCCCTTCAATCATGTTGTGCTAAATGGGATTTAATTCTAGACTAGTAGTACACTTTTTCTTCTTTAATATATACATGATCCAAGCAGAGATTTCTATTCATTAAATTGCGTGTCATCTATAAATATGACAAATAGCGGTTTAAATTTATTAATTTATAATAAACCGTTTACAAGACAATAAATGAAACTTTCGGCAAGTATTCTTTCCTTTTCCAGAAAAAGTTTGCCATCCATGCAACGAGGCTAAAGTTCATAGATGGCTTTTATTATGTGCATTAAAATGTATTAAAAATATCTATTTCAAGACCAGTCAAAGGGCACGCAACTTTTCATATTCTAAGAAATCGAAATTAGGGATGTTTGCAGACATTTATACAAAATCAAATGTTAGAATTTAGTAAAAGTGGGTAGAAATATATCATTATAATTAGAAATTGAGTGTATTTGTAAACTATATTTAAAAATTTTTGAAAATAATAAAAAATTTTACTTGAAAAAGATTAATATGACTACTGTGTATAACTCTGTATATGTATAGCTCTCTATCCAATTCAAATTAGATGTAGAGAGGGAAAAGAAATGGATCAATTGGACAGATAAGCTGATCTTGGCAACATAGGAGCCTAATGGTGTAGCTTATGTGATAATCAACTGCCCCACGTCCCTCAACTGGCTGACAAAGTCGATGATGATGAATCTAGCTAGGCCGTTCAAGGCGCTCAATTGCAACATCAAGCCCTAGAACCTCTTTTTCAATGAAAATTGGACCCTAAAATATCTCCGACTTCAAACTTACAGCGCTACAAGAGCAATAGAACAACGGTCTCATCCATACTGCATGTAGCACATCGTTTGTTGCACCGAAGGTAGTGACCCACCGAAATATGTCGATTGATGTCGTCTTCCCATCGCTTGGATAGTCACCATCATTCGCCCGTTGGTATCTCTTCACCCAAAGTAGGCAAAAAGAACACGTAGAATGTAGTTTGATAGTGGGCAATCATTTGACACAAATTTAGTTTGTTGAATCACAACCATCCATGAATATTTGGTTCAGTTGTGTTTAATAGAGTTTAATGACCTAAATTCATCATCACTCTTGCCCCTTCTCTTCAAAATTCTTATATACAATTAGGCAAAAAGCCTCCTATCAACGTTGTTTTAAATCTGTCAATGTCAAAATCATACTACATGGCCGTTTTAAAGTTACCATTGAAGTCTGTCAAAGCTCTATAAGCTAAATGAAGCCCTACCATGACATTGCAATTGAATCTTTATTATTATTATTATTTTTTGTAAAATCAAAAATATTTTCGAGTCAATTTTAAGTCAAGGCTAATTTCTCTTAAATCAAAAGTATAAAAAGTTAAATCTCCCGTAACAAGTGTACCCCTAGCAAATCAAATTTATATTCTCATTTTATCAGGATACAAACCGTTCACCACCTCGATGAATGCTTGTAGGTGAGATTGAATCACATTTTTATGAACTTTAATTTCGCTTGGTTAATGGAACTAACGCTCAGTGCGACCACTATTTACTTTATTTCAATTTGGGCCCATTTCTAGTTTGTGGACCTGTTTAGGCCGATAACTGATCTAGCTTGTAAGCCCGTAAACAAAACAGTGGATGAACATTTCTAAGTTCGGTCATTTTTCAGTTTTCCTTAAATAGTTCGACAGGCATTCAGTGCAACAGAATCTTTTTTTCCAGCTAGCTAGGTTCGACATGAGTTGAGTGTAATTTCTTGGGCCTATGAAGGTCTAATGCCTTATCCTTATGCCTAGTTTTATCTTCACTTGAAATATCTAAAACTATCTTTTAATTAGGTTGAGAAAGCATGCTTGCTGTTGACAAATATACCCAACCCATGGGTGAAGATTTTCCGGACACATAAGCTTGATCTTACTGCCAACTCCGCGTTGTCAGGAAGGTCTAGACCTTTAGCAAGACCGTTTGTTCTCATGCATGTCCTCGAAATACCTTGATTTTTTCACTAAAGAGTCTTGTCATGCATGCAAAAGATGGCAATCTGAGTGACAGCTAGCCATATATTTCATGAGACACAACATATTCTGTTTTGCTTTTTCGATTTTCATCAAGAAACAAACAAGCCCTTGGTGATTGCAGATCGAGGAGATTGGCTTTTTGAGAGTTGGCAGTATTTGTAAAAGTTGACCAATATTTGACCTTATATTTTGATTTACTGATTCAATTGTTTTCATAATTATTAGATTTATATTATATATTATTTTAATATTAATTTAATAGATATTAATACTCTGACCAACTAGGTTATAATCTGGTATCAAATAAATTAAAAATTGACAATAGATTTCAACAGCACTTTTTCATATGAGAGCATTAGATGTAGAATATTTATTTAAGAAAAAGAAAGAAGGGGTTGCTATTGCTATTAGGGGTGTTTATGGTTCAGTTTGGTTCAGTTTGATACTCAAATTCAAACTAAATATAATAACCCGATTTTGATTGTGGGTTATTTTGCCATAATTAAAAGTTTCGAGGGTTAATTCGAATTAAAGGGGGTTAAGTGAACAAGAATAAAGTTGTTGGGCTGAATCGAAAAAAAAAAAAAAAAAAAAGTTTCTGGCCGAAAGTCGGCCGAAGGACCTGGAAGGAGCGATTTGCTCCAATAAAAGCTAAACAGCTCGAATTAGCTTTAAGGATGGGTATATAGGCGAAGAACGAGTCTCGTTAAAGGTCCAATCGAGAAAATCGGTGAAAAAAAGAGGAAGAACGAAGAGAGGGAAGAACTAGGGGTGCCGACGGGTGGATTTCTGAGAAATTGAAATTTCAAGCTTGAATTTCTCCGATTAAAGGGTTCTACGAGGCTCGTGGGGTTCGGTTTGGCCATTCCAAGCTTCCAATTTAACTAGGTAAGCCT